ATATGATATCAAGCTTGGAACTTAAATTAAGAATATGATTTAAGATTGAAATTTAATATTAAATCGTGACGACCACAAGACATATAGTTTAAGATGAGGAAGATAAAGATAGCAGATGAAGAAAATAAACGACATAACAAAATCGGCGCCATTGATCGGATTATATAAATGTGATTAGGCCTCAGATTTTCATTACGCTAACATATACTGGTAATGGGAAAAGACAGACTAAAATGTTGAATTAAATGTTGCATAACTGTTGAAGCGTTAATTTAATTTGGTTACTGTCTACCTACTAAAAGAAGACAAAGTAAAGAAGAAAAAGCTATAAAATGACTGCCGATGTATAAATGAATTATTTGTATATCTTGGATACTCGCCTTTATAATTAGGTAATTTACAATAATTCCAACATAACATACATTAAGACTGCAAATATGCATGATTTACAAAAAGTAACTTGTAACTAGTGACAAAGTAATAATTGATATACTATTTTCAAATTTTGTCACATTTTCTACGACAGCTTATGTACCCTACATTTACCTTAATGAAAATAAATTGGCTTATGTCAAGTCAATGAAATTACTGCTGAACAAATAGCTAAATTATTTTCCTATATTTTATGCGAAAACAATTAGCAGACGTTATGATTCTAGTAATGATAACTATAACTGAAGAAATAAAGCGACCTTACATTTAATATACGTACTGTCGAACACTATAAGAAATTCTAGACCTCATGTTGTAATTTCCAATTTATACATGCTAAGCATTAAGACACTCTTGTAAAATCATACAATATATACGCACTTGTTTCTAGGGAAAAAAGGAAAATGGAAATTATTCTTTTCAATCAGAAATATATTTTTTAATTAGAATGATCATGTCTTAACCTTTAACAGTCAAGTGTTTATAAAATCATGATAATGTACCTGAAATACAATTAATTGTGAATATATATTTATATGAACATATTCTTTTTATTTTTAACTAATTAGAGTAATATGAACTATATCATACGAGATCTGTCCTGTAATTTTGAACTAAAACATCTTATAGTATATTTTGCTTTTACAGAAAGACACTGGATACCACTGAGGCCCGCATGGAAGATCCGGAAACTGAATGTGTTAGCCTCATAAAATAAAGTCGTTACTTACTTACTTACTTACTTACTTACTATTTCTTCTTGTTTCTCAGGACTCAAACAAAATCATATTATGGGATTTTATCAATGTTTACAACATCCTTGCCGCCAAGAATAAACAGAATTTGCAAAGCTCCAGACGGAATAAGCAAGATAGAAACATACATTACATTAAACAAAACTTGAAGGTTAAGGTTATGACTAAACATCATAAATAACGTAAGCGTTACAAGTACTTTTTTATCATACTTTTATAAGACAGCTAACAGCAGTTTTGTCCTATAAATATAGGATTTATTTTCATCACGTGGTATGAAAATATATATTTCACGAGTGACTGTCGCCACAAGCGAAATATGATAATTTTCATACAACAAGATGAAAATGAATCAAATATTTATACAAAGAAACTTAAATTCATTATACATTTTTTCTATTTTGTTGACTTTTTGAATGACTTTAATCTTGTGTATTGGCTAAATTTTTGAAGAAAGTATTCCGGCGAGACACCAATGAAAATACGGACAATATGTTTACCCGCAGTGAAATATTTACAATGAAAACACGGAAAATGAAAATATGCATGTTATTTAATCAGTATTTCACAATTTTTCATTTATAAGTGTATAATAAATGCATTTTAATTTAAGATAGACAATAAGATAGCAACATCAAATCTTTTCTATATTAAGTTAGATTTAAGCAAGCTGGAGTTATACGATAAACAATGATTAAGCATTTTAAATAAGTAACATCAAATATTAAATGCTATTATACATTGTAAGATTTCCAGTATTGCTATAAAGACATTATCATTTATCACAAAATACGTCAAATTGAAACCTTAAAGAAATGGCAAATTGAAATTTTGCATGCACGGATTGATTAAGCATGTTTATGGTCGGCAGTATAAAGTGGACATAGGATTGGAATTACATCTTAGGGTAAATATTTTCTTCCGTGTTGTTCAGTTATGTATACTAGTCTGGCGCAAGTAAATCAAAACTATCTTATCTTGCCTCTGTCGATCTCGTAGTTTCCGTCCGGTTTTGATATTTTCCGTATTTTCCGTAAGCACGCGAATATCACTTGCGAATATTGAATGCCTATTGGTAAATATGAGAAGAAACATAGGAAAATTGAGTAGAAACCTGGGATGCCCTGTTTTGTAACCAACAACAAACTTGGAATAGGTGTGTTACACGTATTCTGTGGTGCTCTGTTGTAAACAATACAATTCTAAAAAACTTACCTGTCTAATATTCAAGGCTCCTGTTTTTGTTTGGGGTCCGCCTGGGCTCCTTGCCACTGGTTTTGTTGCTGGGTCATATGGGGGTTGCGTTCATTGAACGCCGCCTTTCCTTGTTGATCTTGTTTATCATATTTCGATATATATGGATTGTTTTAATCGGACGTTACTGCTATTACTGACATAAGTTCAAGGTCCTGTGCTTTGAGTAAATATAGAAGCGTCTTAAGAGATGCAAAAAATAGTTTGTGGTTCTTTATCATTTAACCAGGAATTTGTCACAACAATGATGTACACATGGAAACAATACCGGGACATGTACTCAGGGGCATGCTCAAAATATGATAAACAAGATCGACAAGGAAAGACGGCGTTCAAATGAACGCAGCCCCCACCCGACCCAGCAACAAGCGGCAGCGGCGTGGAGCCCAGGAGGACCCCAAAGAAAAATAGGACAGTCTCTGGGGCTAGACGGGACTCCTTCATATGTTGTTATAAACAATATAATAAGAAAAAATTATACCTTTACCCATTCTTACATTTCATTAAAATTAATTATTCGTGTGGAAGTGTATTACTAACGTCATTAGTTTAATCAACTGAACACACGCTTGACGTGCTATAATTTTGTAAGCATTTCGTTCTATTATTCCATGTATATCTCACTAAAATACACTAGATTGCCAAGTCTGTTTAAATAATAATATAGTAAGACATGTAAGAAAGAACTTTACCACATCTTTTGAGGTTTGTTGATATTTTGTGATGTAGCACTTTTATATAGTGTTGTACTTCTATTTTCAAAACTGTTAACAATATCTTAATTTCCTGATCAGATATCTTATCATTTCCATAACGTATGGCATATATTTGCGAAAATAAAATATAACACTATATGATTGGTAAAATTCATGTTAAAGTTAAGTTTTTTATTCTTTGTGATTTTTGAGTCGGATGAGATCAACTACCACATTTGACCCAAATAGCTGGACAAGACATGGAATCAGGGTTGAAGTTTAATCAGTATGTGGTACCAAAGACCCCAATTTTACCAGAGGGTAACAAAGATCTGCATGCAGAATATTTTATACATTGTTGTAAAAGGTATACTAGTAGAAAGTGTTGGAATCAAACAAGCTCTTATTGAATGTCTACAATGGTTAAAGTCCTTTACAAATGTGGTATAAGTGGCCCATAATTGGCGTAGGTTTCGTTTCATTGTGCTTACGTCAACCTTATCAATTGTGGGCTTTTTGACGAGTCTGTTGTTCCAGCTCTTGCTGATTCTATAACAGGGTTTTAAAATGTCATCAAATATCTAGAAAGTTATAGACAAGAGGATCTTGTCAGGAATGTACTCGGTATAGAGTATGATTCTCATTATGCAGAACATGGTGTAAAGTGTTTAGCAATTCTAGTTAGTAGTGCAATAAACATGAGAAAATGAGAAGTGTTTACTGCCAAAAAAACTCTCCTCCTAGAGATATACTAATGTTGACATTTCGAGGAACCAATGACAGAAAAAAACTTGCCAAGTTTGCTTTCTTTTTTATAATGGGACCATGAAAATACGCACCGCAGAGAATATCGCCAGTTCTGGACTACATAATTTCCACTTAAAGGCCCTGTTTTTGTTTGGGGTCCGCCTGGGCTCCTTGCCATTGGTTCTTGTTGCTGGGTCATATATGGGGGTTGCGTTCATTGAACGCCGCCTTTCCTTGTTGATCTTGCTTATCATATATTATATAGGGGCGAAATGGAGAAGATAGACTGTACAATGTATTTTAAATGAAAAACAGTCAGGAGCAACCAAGGGTGACACGTGTAAGTAAAACTCTAAAAAGAAATGTCCCAAAATGAGGGAACCATGTTACACATATCAAATGCATAATTTATCTCGGCCTTAAAAATTACCTTGACCCAGAATATATGGGTCCTTATCTATATTACTGGTAAAAATGAGAAATTATTATGCATTTTTGGGTACAATACTGAATTTTGTTGGATGAGTACACAGCTGTGAAACCAAAATTGGATGAGGCGCTAGCAGCGTCTGATACAGATTTTTCAGCAGTGTAAAAGTGTAGTAGAATCTGTATTGTTATCAACAAAATGTATAATTAGCTCATTTTCTACTTTTTTGGACATTTTATCATAACATTGTTACTGTAAGTACAATAAGGAATGGATTTAAATTTCGAGGCTTAGTGGAATAAGATATGCTTTTGATATAGATGTTTTGGACTTTGTAAATGAAAAACAGGCTATATGGGGTTTAATATGCATTTGATAAGGATCTTTTGGTCTTTGTCAATGACACCGGGCTAAATTGAATTCTTTTGGAGCATTCAGTGGTTTAAAGGCTGAAATTGGTTGTATTTTAGGTGTGAAATAATAAGGGATTATCTTTTTTCTTCCTTGTTCATCAAGGTATATGAAGAATTAACGATTTGTAGGTTTGTTTCATAACTTTTTGTACAATATTTTTAGATGTAATAGCTGGTCAAATAGAACAAATATGTTGTATGTATAAATACATGTAAATTGTCAAAATAAAAAAATAGAAATAGAAGATAGAATATACATGTTGTTGGCTACGAGGGACGGTCAGAAAATATCCGGACTTTTCATGCTCCTCTCTTTCCACGTGCAGCTATATACACACATTATATATTGGTGAAAACTACATTCATTCGCCAATAACGTGGTCAGTTTATTTTCAATGATAGTTGTGTATACACAGTATTTTGCTCTCTGATATATGATAGGTGTTTCGTCTATTATGGACTCTTTGTTAGAGTAACAACGCTCTGTAATAAAGTTTCTGGTTGCAGAAGGTGAAAAGCCCTGTCACAGCTTTCAGAGGCTAAGAAAAAATTTCTGATAAATGTGTATCACGTTCAACCTTCTACAACTTGGTTTCTCAGTTTCGTGAAGGCAGAACAAGTGTTTGTGACAGGCCTAGGAGTGGGCGGCCAGCTGAGACGGTGACACCAACAATGGTAGCAAATGTTGAAGCTTTTGTCAACAAAAATCGTCGAGTAACTTTGGAGGAGGTAGCCAACAAGTTCAGCATTGGTAAGGCATCGGCACACAAGATTTTACACGAACACCTAGGCATGAGCAAGGTAAGTGCCAGGTGGGTGCCTAGACAGCTGTCCGCAGATCAAAAGGCAACCAGAGTAACCAATGCAAAAGAATATTTAAGTCGTTTTAATCGTGAAGGAGATAAGATTTTGAACCGCATTATCACTGGAGATGAGATGTGGGTTCATTATATTATAAATACCAACGCATTTTGGCAGATTAAGTTTGCCACAGTTATCATAGTGGTTCTAGTAAACATTTAATTCATTGATATTTAGACGGTAAAGTTTCACTTTCTCATTTTATTTTGTCAAAGAAAAATTTGAATGGTTTTCTGTTTAAGTACCAAAAAAAAAAACAATTATGCACTATGCAAATTTTGCCTCCAATTTCAACCGATTGCATGCATATATCTTCTAGGACAGTTAAAAGTACAGAAACATTGACAAACATTGCCATGCATGTCTGCCTTGTCGGATTCCGGAAAGCCTATGCCGGCTACGATGTTTAAGTCACTTGTCGAGTTTTGTTCTGGTAATTATAAAAGTGAACAAAATGCAATGTTCAGGACATTTTTATTAATGGACAATTATAAAACACTACTAGACTGGAAAGGATTTAAAAATGCATATTCACCTGCTCATATGGCGGTTATGCAAGCTCAGTTTGTCATTTTTGTGGCATTACATGAAAAGCAACGTAAGTTCGTTATCATTTCCTGACTATTGTTAAAACCGTTATCCGCACTGTACGCTTAATTACTTTACTACCCTCAAGACAACTGAAAGTACTGAAAATGTTCTCATTTGATCTGCTTGCAAATTATTTGTTAAAGAGCTCCAGGAAGAAACCATTAATATGCAAATCATTCCTAGAAAATACTGCGGCTTCTGGATATTTATTAACTGGAGATGTATTCTTCAGTAGTGCGCGATAAACAATGTAAATGACAGTTAATATCCGTCCGTTAAACTTGATTTATAAGATTGTGGTAAACAATTTTTGTTTTTGAAATGGATATTTATTGACGTAATGGTTCCATTCGATCTTTACAACCATAAATATTACGAGAGAATATTTACAGGTATAATTAAAGAGACAAGTATTGTGTTTTTTTCCAAGCTATGATGATTGAATGTCTAAGCTATTACGTCATAGCCACATTTTAATAATCACACCTGAATATAAGTGATGTATAGACTGACAGGATGATACAATAAGTTAATTTATTCTAACGCAAACCGCATTATTACTCATTTCGCACATTACACCGAGTAGTTCTATCATAAGGTAATTTTAAGAAGTGCACCCATATCTAAATAACAGAGAAAAAAAATCTGTATAAAAATGTTGATTTTATTTCATGAATATTTTTGTATGATTAGGTCAACTTTATCATTTAATAGTCTTAAAACACATCATTTCTGACTTAACAGTTTATGGCAATAACTTGACACTTGTTTCCTTTTTTTGTAATCGAGTTTTTAATAACAATCTTTATTTACGGAACCTTAGTTAAATGGGTACGATAATAGAACAAGTGAATCCATTGAGCTTTCAACTTTCAGTCAGTTTTCATTAAAATAAATACTTATCAATAGCTTATTATTTGAGTTGATTGGAATAACTTGTATATAATTATTTAAAGAAATATCTCTCGTGGCTTTATAATTTGTATATTCCATGGGTTTGTTCTGACATGGAAATACATGTACTACTTTTAAGAAATAAGTATTTTCATAGAGATCTACTGGAGAGGCTATAAACATGTCTGGTCTTTCTTTTACTGCAAAACATCTGAAATAGTTAAAATATTTTTTGAGACTGCTTCTTTTCATATTTATCATTCGTTTAAACACACTTCATAATCATAGTCTGGTGTTAGCAGGAAGGTTTCTTTGATACCCTATTATGTAAATGAAGGCAGGAGAAACTCTTGATATTATTAATGTAAGGACGCAATACAAAATGGGCTTAATATGTTGATATCACTTACGTATTTACTAAACTTACAAATGTAAATCAAGTTATATTACACTTCTACTTGTTATATTTAATCTTTCTATTAAATCAACTTTTTGGTATCATCTACCGTTAGCAATGTAAATTTTAAAGGAATGTATTTACAATACAATTATCCAATAATAGTTATCAAAAATTTATCCGATTTATACTTGATCTATTTAACACTAGACCTTTATCAAAATCCGCGTATACAAGTGTAACCCTTATGAATATCTTCCTTTGGCAAACTGTACACCTTTATTTGCAGACACGATGAAATTTATCAACATATTGTAGATACATAATTATCCAGTTGAATGAAGAAATTATATAATGCCTCTATGATAGGAGAATTAATTCAATACATATATTCCCAGTGCATTTAAATATTGCAATTCAACACTTTATATCAAAGATTAATTTTAAAAGAATAAAGCTATATCTAATGAAATATTTTGATGAAATATCTAACCGGTATAATCATGTTGTTTCCATATTCTTATGAAGAATTATCGTAAATGTTGTAACATAAAATGTATCTCTTATCTATTTCACATAAATATTGCATGAAACAAAATAAAATGTTCCAGAACAAAATATTTTGCTACTATCTTAAAAAGGATTTAAACCGTTTAGCAATGTTTTTTTTGGATACGCTCTCAAGGAAATATACAAATAATATATTTCTTCAAAACGAGTATATTTGAATTATCCTTTAAACTTCAAACACTGATTTTGTAAATTTCAGACAACAGATATAACCTCATGCACTTTAATTATTAATTTTTTTTTGTTTTCAGGATAAAAGTTTGACACAATGTTTACGATGATGTTCAAATAATTCTCTAAACCTCTTATCATTAACATTTGTTTTTAGGAATGCGTATCAATGACAACATTTTAAACTTTTAAGATACGTTAAGTAAGCAAACAATGATGTTCTAACATAAAGTCGTCTTCGTCTAAACAGATTAATATCTAAACGAATGAGGCCGAGGTTTTGTCAATGCATAAATTAAACTTTTATAGCACACTGAAATAAAGACTTACCTGAATTTGTTTTATATAGAAATTATGGCCTCATCTGCTTTATTGTGGTTTCATAGCTAACTGCTCTTTGAAGTCAATACATAATAATATGGCAACAGATATGTTTATAACACTATAATTAGTTTGATTAATTAATATGATCGAACCTTCTGAGAATAGCCGTTCATCAAAAATACCGTATGAAGACGAATATTTGTCTATATTTGGCACAGTCTCAAATCTGAAATTATTTTACGATGTGACCATTTGAACTTCGTAATCTCATTTATAGAACAAAATCTCAATAGGAAAGTGTAATACATGAAGAATTTCGAATCATTACCCTTAGCTGTGAGAAAAATAATACAGTTAACCTAATTACCCAGGCAATCACGTTTTAAATTTACTCACAAAGAATGTCCCTTAAGAAATTATGTGTTCTATATATATATTATCATCAGACATGCAACCACAATCAAAGAATAAGTAAATATTCTCTGAGGAACATACTGATGGTCAATTTTGTTCTTTTTATGTCGCCTGTCTGATAAACATTGAACAAAATAACGTGTTACTTGCATGCCATATAGACTGGAACCTTTGAACATTTAAGAGTATGACTAGTTGCACAGAGAATATAGCCCGATTTATTTATCTGTGATCTTTGCCGTCCATAAGGACACTATAGCCTCACTGACGTAAATGTGCCCCTGGAAGCCGATTTTCATACGCCAAAAGACCTTCGGGACGTAATATGGTTTCGCTTTGGTTATCGGAAAATGCTGCGTATATGGTGTAAATTGGTAACTAAGGGGGTTTAAGAGATTGAAGAAATAACCTCAAAACGTCAACTCAGGGATAACGTTAATCCCTCTGTCAGTCCGTAGACGATTGGTTTTCACTGCATAACTTTTGAAAGAATTCAGTGACCGTGTTTATATTTAGAATATAAGTATGTTATATCAGAATTCAGGTAAAGTTCGATTTTCGCTGTAATCAAATCAATTCATCCCTAATAGTTATACTTCCTTTAAAGCAATTTTAAGTGAATTACTGGTTTTCACAGAATAACTTTTGAAGAACCACTATGCATTGCCAAGCGATTGACAAGTGTCAAGAACGATATGAACGCTACCTTTTCCCCAAAACCCATGGAAATGTTGTCCAAATCACTGTTGCTAGAGGTCATTACGAATTATAGAGATGTCGTGTTATAGAGATGTCGTGTTAAGATAGATTGAAAAGCACTTTAAAATGTCCTTCGATTCTATGTAAAATCTTATTTTCTGCTACAACAAAGAGGAGAATTTACCACTTTGTAATTGGATTTCTCTTTCCAAATGAAGTCCTTCTCCAGATTAAAACGATTCCTTGTGAAAACTTGTTTTCTCTTTTTTTTCTCCATGAATTGAAAAGAACCTTTGCTAAAAAGTTTTTTAATTATTGTTTGTCAGTTGACACTCCTGTATATTTTCCCGTTTAATTGTTATACTAAAACAATAATTTTACGTTTCTAAGTCGATAATTCAATTTTTGAAAAGTAATGTTATGCCTCTTTGTGTGGATATAGCACAGGTAAGGATGTCTCAATTACGTTAATTTCCATACTGTTCAGAATTTATTCACTATAAATTTACATTTAATGTTGTCCAGTTAAGTGAGAATGTTTGATTTCATATACCAAAATAATTGATATATAAGAAAATAATTATAAAAG